AATCAACAAAATCTTCCATGAACTTCTCAAATAAATCCACATTTCCACATCCTCTGCAAATATCATCAATAACCAGCCCAAGTCGTCTTGATATCTCAATACGCATCTCTGTCTCTGCACATCTCTTCACTAAGTTTTATGCCATGCGTGGCGGACCCGCCAAAAGGATATCAATATGGAGCACTCGAAAACATCCCTGAAAACAATGTAAAGTATTGAGTGACACGGAGCACATTACATCTATTGATAAAAGAGAGCAAATATGATTACCCTTCACTGAGTTTGAATGATGTAACCATTTCAATATGCCACTAAAGGAGTTCACTTAATCAAGCTAAACTAGGCTCTTCCTAGTTTAAATCAGAAGAGAAAAATGCATTCCTTCAGTTTGTTCCATATTTATCAGAATTACATCAGCAGAGGAACCCCAAGGCTAGAGAACACACAAGAGATAAAAACCAAGCAAGGAGCTGATGCACAAATGAACAATCTTGAAACAAAAGGAATAGATTCATTGCTTTAACAGAAACAAGGAAGTTGCCATTCTAATGCTACAAACCAGTGGATCCTAACTCTAATAACTAACGAAGGGAAATTGAAGAAATCATATGAGCCCATGCTCCTCAGTCCTTACCGTACAAAATACACAATAAAACAATATTATTAGCAATAGTAATGTAAAGTCAGCTGAGACAAAGGCCTCAACGCCATACCTAATTGTATGGACATTAATCGAAGGATCATCGACAATAAACCCAGCCAACTTCCAAGTAGGATCTTTCGTGCGAACCCTGTTGTATAGAGCCCTCATCCATCTATGAGCATCTACACTAGCAAACCTCGGGGTTATTATCCAAGCTACCGGGATTGCTTTCTTGTCTGAATTGAAAACAATGAGACTGTGTATAGGATACTGAAAATAATTCATAGAGAGCACAGTTAGATTCAAAGAGATTAGAAGAACTCATGGACTGGCAGTAACAGCTACAGTTAGAGGATTGAGTCACATAACGTAAGAGGTAAGTGGTCGGGGGAAGTCGAAGAAAGGAAAAGAGACAAACCTGAAGTTTATTTGTTCCAAACCTTGAATCAGAGGCAAGGAGGCTGTGATTTCCAAATCGAATCATTTGTTGCAACTGCCACTCAGTTTGAATGCCCAAGATAAAAGGATCTGAATCAGTGAAGTCCTCGTAGAAGAATACATAGTTCTGGTGGCTTTCAACCCACATGCTTACACTCACAGCATCATCTGCATCCAACTCATATGTAGAACGTCTAATGCTCCTCTCCTGTCTTCGAACATACCTGTGGGTCAGAAGGTCATCTCGGTTGTATGGACCACCCTGTTTCTCTACAGATTCATTGTGTCGCTGCATTATGGTCTCCACGGAGACCCCAACATGCAATAAAGATAAAACACGGAGGCGCAGATCCTCTGAGATGTACGGTGCAAACATAGCACGTGTGCCAGCTGCTTTTTTGTCCTGTGGCCCATGGCATGGCAACCCTTTCTTATCCACATGCTTGTCCTGGTTATATAGTATCAATGCTACTGACGGTTCAGCAATTAAGCGTTTTACAATAAAGTGACAGGTGCATCCTCTTTTCGTATTAGGTCGGCCAGCATTTGTCTTCTTAGGAATGTATGTATTTCGGCTGGGACGTACAAGACCCCCTTTCCTATGGTCATCAGGGCCAAATGAACACCAATACCTACAAGTTCAACAGTATAGATTTAAACACAAACAAAACCGTAAGGCAAGACCATTGAGCACAAGCTATCAAAAGATTTTTCAAAAAGAATAAAAATAAAACATAGAAGAAAAGAAGGAGAACCTACAAGATATATTCAAGAATACCATCAACCTTCGGCTTGTAAGGTGCCTTTGCCGTTCTCCGCCTTCTTGCTTCAACATGAAATTTAGTTGGACAATCTTTGTTAGAAGATTCACCCCTAACAAAGTCATCCACTCTAGCAAAAGGGATCAAAGCAACTCTATCTATATTGTCACGCCAACCTTCCACCTTCGACCATACAAGATCATGTGCAGAGAACTCCAAGGTTGGTGGATTTTGTACCGGAAGAGAGAGAATATGATCCCATCTAGCCATCTACATTAGAAGAGTCAGTGATTACACTACCTATCAGCAAAACTATTGCAATATTTTAACCATGGGAAAATCCCATCAATAATAAACCCAAGTTACAACAACCCCATTTTCCTAACGTTCATTACAAGACCATTCAAAATCACATAGAAATTATCATCAAGACCTCAGTTTATTGATATAAGTTGTGTCATGTCTTGGCAGAAATGAAAGAAACAGAAACCTGCAAGAATAATACTTAACTCAGGCAGCTTCAACCAAATTTCAGTGAACTTGGAGCATAATAAAAAATGAAAATGAACAAAAACAAAACAAGTGGGCGATAAACATCCCCCGAGGTTCTCTATCAAAATAGAAAAACCATTCAATTAGCCTCTTCAATAGAAAGGTTTTAAGTTTTTAATGTCCAAAGACTCAAAAAAATCCCATTCCTTCATTCCACCTCAATCATTACTCCCAGGAAACCAATGAAACCTTAAAGCTCCAGCTTTTTGCTCAACTAAAAGTACAATTACATGGAAAAAAAACATATTTTTGTGCACTATTAAGCTTACATAAGATACGGCAGATAAATAAAGATATAAAAATTAAGCTAAAGGTTTACCTGGTAAAGGCAGCTCAAACCGCTCCTTTTTTCCCGGCCTTTCTTTACCCAGACAACAGTCGGAAGGAGAGTAAGGGAAAGGTAAACACCCATTAATATTTCATATTTGCGGTAGAGATTAACCGTTTGTCATTATGTCCTTGAGAATACTGGGCCTTGAGGGAGGTTTATATATTTGTAGCAAACTATTGGGCTCAGGTTAGACCCAAAGCATGAGCCTTGGGTGCAATTTCTCTTCAATTAAACCTCTGTCGCTGGTGTTTCTCGCTTCCCCAATTGCCATCCCGTCTTTCCTCCTGGTTTATGCTTTTGAATTGATTTTTACCCATTGTTTTATTTGTTCTTCCTTGGTAGTCCAACAAGAAAGTATTTTTCATAGAGTTGTAGAAGAAAAGGTTTAAGCTTTGTATAGTCTGAAGAAGCAGATCATTAGGAGGTCTGTAATATCTAGTAAGAGCATAGGATGTAGTTCCTTCAGATCATTGGTGGAATCTAAGCTTTTTTTAATGATTTTGCATCAGCTGCTAAAAGGGTATGTTGGTGTATCCCACCATTACTGCTTTCTATGGGTAGTTTTCTATTTGGACATTACTGTTCTTTCATGATTTCATTGCTTTATTGATGTCTTCTTTTTGTTGCCAACAATATGTTGTTCTTTTGCTTGTGTTATTAGCTGATAAAGTAGTGGCAATGGTGAGTTTTATGTCAAATGTAGGTATACTGTTGCATAAATTATATATTATCACTAAAAGCAAAATGTCTCTGAGGCAATCACTTTTATTGGCTTTTTGCTTGTATGAGTTGTGCCTAGCCCTTTTTACTTGATCAATATGATTGCAGTATAGTTTTTGTATTCTTGTAAGAGTGTTTCTTAGATATATTCAATCTGTTATCAGTTGCTGAATCACTTCCTGATGACATACCGCAGTCTTCAGCGGATCAGAATTCTAGTTTTGAAATACAGTATGTGACAAAGGTGACGCGCGTGCTCTTTCTATTAACATTTTTTTTGTTCTCTAAGTGGCTGCATTGTGCAGACGTGCTTTCTATTCGTATTTTTTTCTCTCTACATAGCTGCATTGTGCAAAACTAAACGCTTCTTCTTTCTGCAGGGTGTAATTGAAGCTAACGGTTAGTTATTTCTCTTCTAAGTTTATCTTTCAACATTTACAGTCAATTTTTTTTGTATCATAGAATTGCTTCATGCATAAGTGACCTACTTTTTGAAGTCAATAACAGTTAATTTCAAGTTTGATTAGCATAAGGATAATTGTTATATTTTTTTCTCCGATATTTTTTTCACTATTTTATCTGACAATTCTGTCAGCAGCAGGCATTCCTCTTCCATTTAGAGGACAGTGTGTCAGAGATTGTATAGTTAGGTTTCAAGCTTTGGTTCCTCGCATAGAAAATTGTGGATTGAAGCTCATGTCTCCTTACTTTGTTAGATCCTTTGCATCAAGAACTTCAAAGCAATCGAAAGAAACATCTGAGGTTTGGATCTTAGCGTACATTTTTTGGCCTTTTGGTTCTTATCTCTGTTGGCTTTTAATAATTGGCAAAAATACTTTTCAAATTGCCTGTTTAGTTTGTAATTCTAATATGTAAGTGAGTTCATGTTTTATCCACTTAAATGGTGAGGCAACCTACGCCTAAATGCTGGAAGGATACAAAATAGGAATCTCTCCGAAAGCGTTGGGGATTTATCATCTTCTTTCTTTCCTAATTGAGCATGGAATTACTTAATTATTCATCGTACTTTGGTTTTGCGTAGCATAAAGATGAAAGAAAACATAAGCACTACTGAAGTTCATTTCATACCAAGTAAATTACGTTTATGCATGTGAGAGCTTAAGGGTAATTGTGTACAACAAGGGCAAGGACGTTTAAGGGTTTTCTGAGTTGTACTCATTAAATGCTATACGGGTTGACATATAATTGCCTGCATTTCTAGTTCTGTGAGCTTTATAGTTACTTGAATTTTCACATCAGTCGCATTGAGTTGTCTTTATCCTTTGGCAGACTAGAAAAGAATTATCTAACGTTGAAGATCCGTTTGGGGTTTTCTGAGTTGTACTCATTAAATGCTATACGGGTTGACATATAATTGCCTGCATTTCTAGTTCTGTGAGCTTTATAGTTACTTGAATTTTCACATCAGTCGCAGTTGTCTTTATCCTTTGGCAGACTAGAAAAGAATTATCTAACGTTGAAGATCCGTTTGATGCTCCTACATACAATACCAGAAAAGCCTGTGACATTTACAGAAGGGCTAGCTACATCTCATAATCCTTGTTGCGCTCGGTATTGCTGCTGCTGCTGGATATGCTGTCTTTAAGGAGTTGATATTTCAACCAAAATAGTAAGCTTCAAATGCCTAGTTGGCAATTGGGTTACTATTAAGCATGGAATTACTAAGCTTCTCCCTTGTGTTACTTGCACCCTAATTCCAAACCGTTGTTTTATAGGTATAAAGTATTCACCAGGCTCTGGAAAGGATTCAGAACGAATGCCAGGTTGTAAACTAGCTTTCTTGTCTTTGAACCAAGTCCAACACTTCGAAAACAGTGCATTGGAGTTTATCTCTGTTAATCAGTTCCTTATGGAAACTTGAAATGACAACAGTACATGTATTATCAGTTATACTGTGGATCTTCAGGCGAAGCATCTCAATATACATCTGCAGCATGAGCATCGAAATAACATCTTAGAACCCTGATTTGCCTTGAATAATAACCTGATAAATTATAACAATGAGCACTATCATCTATTTGCACTTATCAGGTCAGATCTCGGATGAATCCTGCGTATACTGGCTTGATAAATTATGAGTATGTTTCTGTTTTCTTGCATGTATATATGTGATTCGACAGACAGCCAAGCTATATGTGATTCTAAGCATTTTGAAGTATCAGTTAGGGGTTGTCATTCTAATTCTATGCCACATGGTATTACTTATGCTTCTGTCAGGTAGGGTGAGGATTGGCCAACCTATTACCGGGTATGGTCAAGAAACTAGGAATTGCGCTGCTCGCCAACGTATTCCAAACAGGATATATATGGATGAAAATGGCATCGAGCAAGTAGAGGTGACTCTCTAGTCTTTACAAGATTGTTAGGAAAAAAATCTTTTTTTTTAGATGTTTGTAACTTTGTTATCCATTTCAAACAGGTTAATTTCTATATTTGTGGGCCCCATGTAGCCGGAAAAGTTTTCACCGAAATGTTCAAGGACAAAACGGACAATAAATGGAAGTATACCTACTTGATCGTTCAGATCAATTCACCTTCCCGGGCAGAATTAATGCGGGAGTCTTATTTACCAGCAGCGGAGACAAGGCCCTTCGCAGCCATTAACATTGGGATAAACTTGTTTTTGCAGAGAATTGAAATGTTTCTGGATGATGAGCTTTGTTTTCAGTGTCCCCAATTTGATCAGTCACCAGTTGAACTCTAGCTCCCCTCTAGGGGTAAAATGTTTGAGATTATAGATTGATCAATAATTGTTCATTCAACTTTTACCCCTTGGTGAACGCATGGATTGAAATCTTAATCCTACCAGAATATGCTGGGTCAAGATTACACTGGTTGCAGTCAATAATAGTCCAGCATTGTAATTGTTTTTTTTTCCAGCCCCTCTCCACGTTCAAGGTGCCTTGAATGTTATTGGACGATCATGCTCTTATCGGATTCACGACTTGAAATTTGTTGTTGTGAACTTTAAATTCGATGAACGATCAATGTTAAAGAAGGTAAAGATTTTTTTTTTTACAAATGACAGATTTGAAACACAACAATTGCAACTTCTGGATGCTCAAGCTCCCATTGTGTGTCCTTAAAAGGGTAAATGATCTTAATCCAAGCTAGAATTCAATCATCCAACATCCTTGTGGATGCCGGAAAGTGAGTAGAAGCACCAGGAACAGAGAAGTGACCTCGACACAGTAGCCACTGAAGGGAATCAAACAGTGATCACCAGCATGAATCCAGCACCCCCATGAATTGAAACGGAATGGTTCACACAAGGAACAATTCGTTTTCGTAAATGATTTTGACATGACTTTAGAAGTAAATGGAAATAAACCAAAGTTATTGGTGATGTTTGATAACTAGTACATGATAAAAGCAACAAAGCATGGAAACAAAACTATTATGTGAAATGTAACATTTACTGTGATAGTTTGACTTGGAAACCTTTCCCACCTCCAATTCTTTGATTTACAGAGAAATTACAACAGTAAGTTTTCCCCATAGGCCATAACATACATGTTGGGTAGCAAACAACATTTGTGGAGGGCACTAGGTGCCATTTCATCTGGTTCTGTAGTGGGCAATATAGTATAACTGCACCAGAGATAAGATCTTATACCAGAATCCAGCCTGCAAGAGCTCACTACAAAATCCGGATGATCGGTCCTTTGCTGGGAACCAGTCGGGAAGCTACTGAACAGCATCGAGCAGTTTCAAGTTTGAATCACATCTCGTTGCAGATCACTATCCATTTCAGAATCTCTGATGGTCAGGCAACACATTATAATCTGCTGGAAACTGAAAATTTGACACAATTGAGTAGGGATAAAGACAATATATTGCCTACCAAAACAAGAAGGAAACAGAACAAAGCAAGATACCTGCCATGTTGTCGTCAAAACATGTCATTTCGTGGAACATTTTCAAGATGGCAACAACAATGGTGTGAATGACATGGCCTTTCAGTTAGGCTGAAGCTTTAAACAACAACAACCCAGCATTTTGTATGGAGCACTGAATTAGAAGTCAAAACAAAGTAAAAAACACATGAATATTCTGGCACTTAATGGACTTCCTTGCACATGAGCAGATTATAACCATAAACACCTTTGTATTCAATGTTTCCAACAAGATACATATACGACACCTGCCACGTTGTCGTCAAAACGTTTGTGCTCATGGAACATTTCAAGATGTCAACAACAATGGGGTGAATGACATGATCTTTCAGTTAGGCTGAAGCTTTAAACAGCAAACCCAGCATTTTGTATGGGGCACGAATTAGAAATCAAAACAAAGTAAAAAAACATGAATATTCTAGCACTAAATGAACTTCCTTGCATATTAGTTGAGAATATAACCATAAACACTTCTGTATTCAATGTTTCCAACCAGATGCATATATGATTCATGGCTAACCAGAGACTTCAAGTAGAAATGTCAAAATAACAGATGGAATCATCATTTATCTTGGAAAAAACATCCTAACAAATTTAAGGCCATGCTATACTCTAGTATGTGTGTGTGTGCACGTACGTGAAGGTTGGGAAGCAACCAATAGCCGAAACAGCTGGCAATCAGACAACAAATCAGATAAAATTGAAAATAACAAAATTTATATCCCTAATCATTATGCTGCTATAGTAGGACTAGGCATTTATAGAGTTTCCATATGAAGTTTGTCAAGAGGTTACCAAAAGCAGTTTTTTTCCCTTTAGAGGGAAAACATACTAACTCTCAGACACACATATAAAGCATGGTCAATCATAATAGCGTAACCAAACTCTTTAGTTTCCAATACTGATATATCCATGAAATTACAAGCCTAATCAGTCATTCACATCTTGCCATTAAACGCAAACAAATTTTTCCACACGTTTTGCATAGGCAGTTACGGAATGCATATTTTCACAAGAGCATCAAGTTGATTGTTTGACTTGAGGGCTTCCGTACAGCAAACAAACATCTGAGCATAAGTTGCTACTGGATCCATTCACTTGAACACTTCCAACTGGGGAGTTGAACAAGTAAACTAATTGAGAATGTCATTTTTCTTAGATCAGGTAAATAAAGAAAAACTGATCCCTTTTTACTTTTCACGAAAGCAATTGCAAAGCAAGATTTAAGTCACACAATGCACGGCTTCTACGACTCAAATCTTTCCTATCAATTGTGTCTCGGAATTATGTGAGGCATCTACCTCACAATCTCTTCAAAAAGAAGAGGCACACAAAACAACTTTATAATTCATTAACAATTGAACTTGATCTCAAACCAGTCAAGGGCCAGTGAATTAACCTCTTTTCGTCTCATAAGTTTGCTTTCTGATAGCATGTAATAAAAGATATAATGCCTGCAAGCCAATTAGAAGGGCATTATACCAAATGTCTCAACCTATACACAGGAAACACATGCCTTGAATGATTACTTTTACCATTCACAGGCACATATCTTGCTTGAATGGAAACCAACGGGGTTTGTCACTCGTGCTATCTAGAGATATGACAGAAAGAATAACAAGACTAATTACTTTTACTAAATAATGACAGTTTCCTAATAAATTGAAGCCAGCAGACTAGTCGTTTTTGCTTCAACAAATATGCATTTAAGAAGCAAGAAGGAAAGATATCCAATGTTGCAAATGAATCATAAAGCTGCATTCCTACAATATATGTTTCCTTTATATTCCCTCAAGCATTCTGTATTCTAAGATATAGTAGCTCAAGAATGCTCACATGCTAACTATTTAACCCATCAATTACTGCCATGTGCTCAGAACTACTCAAAACTGTTGATTGCAACACCTGCTCAGTAATCAATCAGTAGTTTCTAAAACGTGCTCAGAACCTCTCAATCCGTTAATTATAGAATGTACTTAGAGCTAATGATTGGGTTGATTACAACACGTGTTCAGTACTCAATCGTTAGTTTCTAGAACATGCTTAGAACCACTCAATACGTTCATTGTAGCATGTGCTTAGAGCTACAGAATCAGTTGATTTCTAACACATGTTCAGTATCGACTTAATTGTTTGATTTAAAACATGGTCATATCTACTTAAACCGTCAATAACTAACAAAGGTCATAACTACTATCCCAAAATTACTCACATTCTCCAACCAATCAACTATCAGCACACTAAAAACATTTTATCTGACAGATGCATATCGGAAGAACAAATAAGAAAGAAACAAATGCACATCAAAACAAGCATGCTCTCGAACTTTCTTGATTAAAAAACAGTTATCATGCTCCAAATTATTTCCACATCTACTTAGTCGTTTGATTACTAACTCGTGGCCTTATCCCTTCTATACATCAATAACTAACAGAGCTCAAAACTACTATCCAATAACCGCCAATGTGTTTCTCCAATAAATCAACTGTTAGGAAATGGAGAACATTTATCTGACCGAAGCATGTTAGAAAGAACAAATGAGAAAGAAACACCTGCACATCAAAACAAGTATGCATCCTGAACTTTCTTCATCGTAAACAATTATTATGCTCTAACTCGTGTTCATATCTACTCAATCGTTTGATTACTAGAAACATTATCATATCTATCTAATCCATCATTAACTAACAAAGCTTAGAACTACTATCCAATAATTACTAATGCAATTTTTCAATCAATCAACTGTCAGCATCAACAAACGGTATTAGCTCTAACATGTTTCATATCTACTTAATTGCTTGATTACTAATACGTGGTCGTATCTACTTAATCGTTTGATTATTAACACGTGGTCGTATCTACTTAATCGTTCGATACTAACATGTGTCATTATAATTAATCCATCAATAACTGACAAGCTCACAACAACTATCCAACTACTACTAACATGTTTCTCCAAGCAGTCAATGTTGGTAAACTAAGAATATTTTATCTGACTGATGCATGTTGGAAAGAACAAAATGAGAAAGAAACACAAGCACAACAAAACTAGTATCCATCCCTAACTTTCCGAATTGGTAAACAGTCATTATGCTATAAAACATGTTCATATCTACTTAATCGTTTGATTACAAACACGTGGTCTACTTAATCATCAATAACTAACAAAGTTCATAATTACTATCCAATGATTACTAACATGTTTCTCCATGCAATTGACTGTTGGCAAAAACATTTTATCTAACTTATGCATGTAGGAAAGAACCAAATGAGAAAGAAACATATGCACATCAAAACTAGTATGCATCCTAACTTTCTGGATAGATAAACGGTCATTATGCTCTAAAACATTTTTTTATAGAAATAGGAGGCCTCGTTAAAAACCTCCCTCATAGTGGTTCCTTTCCCTAAAGAAAGAACCAACCAGCGGAAGGAGGAAAATAGTGCCTTAATTTATTAAATATAACAGCATTACTAAGACTTAAAATTACACCAGAAAACAGAAACTACAAAAACGAATAGAACAACCAAAACCTTACATTCACCCAATCACTTCCTTTGCTCTAAAACGTGTTCATATCTACTTAATCGTTTGATTACTAACAAAGCCCATAACTACTATCCATAATTACTAATGCGTTTATCCAATCAATCAACTCACGGCAACTACGAACACTTTATCTAGTCGACGCATATAGGAAAGAAAAATGATAAAGTAACACAGGCACGTCAAAACAAGTATGCAACACGAACTTTCAGGATCGGGAACAGTCATTATGCTCTTATATTTAACCAGTTCCTTGAAGAACTAACAAGTACTGAAAATCTAAGATCTAAACGATCTACCTTAGAAAACGATTTCCTTTTACATAAACTGAAAGGTA